AGCTGTCTCGGGCTTCCTTGGCCAGCGGCAGAAAATCGACCAAGCCCTATCAACAGAAAAGACAAGGTCATTCAACGCATAAATCAACAAAGGAAAAGAAGAAGCGCCAGAATAGAGTTAGAGAAGTATTACCTGAGCAAACCATTGCACAAGTCTGTCGCCGACCTCGGGCAGCGTGAGGCTGGCCTTCTTCCGATCATCCTCGAGGAGGGCACCCTCGAGACGGTCGGCCACCTCGTTAACGGGGGCCGACAGGAGAGATGTGGGTTTCGGGGCCAAGGGATCAGAAGAAAAATAACCAGCACGCCCCCGCTTGACGACGACCTCGCCCTGCTCAGTGCGAGGGCGTTTTCCCAAGGCCGACTCGGGGCCCCCGCCATCGCGATCACTGGATTCGACCAGAGCTTTGGTCGATGCAGCAACAGCGGTTTTAGAAGAGTGATGGGCGAGGGGCAGTTTCTCTTGACTTTTGGTTTTGGGCGGGATGATAGGCTCGGAGGTTTTATCGGCAGTTTTGCTCTGAGAGCTGGTCCTGGAGGGGGAGGTTCGTGGACCTGTCCTCTGGGAACGGTCATCGCCCTTCTGGTGGCGGTCGTCGGTCCTTTGACGATCACCAGTCTTAGCTTGGTGATCGACGGTTTTCGAGGATTTTGTGGTCGATTGTGAGGAAGATTGGTGCTGCTGCTGTTGATGTTTGGGCGGCAGGGGTTGCTTCTGTTGTTGTTGTTTGTGTTGTTGCTTCTGTTGTTGTTGTTGGTGTTGTTGCTTCGGTTGTTGTTGTTGTTGTTGTTGTTGTTGTTGTTGTTGCTTTGGTTGTTGTTGTTGTTGTGGTTGTTGTTGTTGTTGAGATTGCTGAGGCCCCGGAGGAGGAGGAGGAGGTAAGGGAGTCTCTCGGGGAGGCGATCGACGCTGCGGCTCTGGTCGAGACCCTGAGGAAGTGGTCGAACCTTCGGCCTGACCCCCGGCTGAACCGGAAGTGCCCCCGGTCTTCTTTTTCAGAGGCACCTTCCTCAAGGGAATGTTGAAGCTGGGAGCCTCTGCACGAGCACACCAAACAAAACAGAACCAACATTAACACTTAGCCCAACAAAAATAACATACACATAACAACATTCAAAATGAACTGATCGAGAACTACCTGGGTCGTTCTCAAGGCGGACGAGGTCGAGAATCTCCTTAGTAGGGGGAGAAAGGGTTTTATGGGAAAGAAGACCACAGAAATGGAGAAGATTCTCGTCCTGAAGAAGCTTTTCAGACGCAACGGTCTTGGAATTCCAAACATGGATCCGTTGGTCGAAGAGGGGGTTTGATGGAGGGGCCGAGGCTGCCTCCTTGGAAACATCCTTGACCCACGGGACGGAAGGCCAGGGGAAGGGGATGTCAGGTCGAACAAAGATAAATTTATCACTCCACCCGGGAAGGTTGGAGGGGATGTCATTGATGAAATGCGCACCGTTGCGACTTTTCAGGTAGAGACCCCGGCCCAATTTGGAGGGGCAGTAACAATAATGGAAGAAATCTAGATCGAATCGACCTAGACGGACGCGGCAGAGAATGATGAAAGTGGTGATAAAATGGATGGCATTAGGAGGAAGTTGGTGTAAAGAAAGCGAGAACCACTCGCAGATGCGAATTATGTCAGGGCTCAAGGGAAAGCGCAACCCGAGCTTGAACTGGACCTCGAAAAAAGGGTAACAGTCTCGCGGAGGATTATCATATCGGTCGGAGGAGGAAGACCTAATGAACGCCCAACCCAGAGGTTGGCCAATTTTATCAGGATTAAACCAGGGATGAGAAAGAGATGTAGAAGATGGTCGTTTAAGAGGCTTTTTGGTCGAGGACTGTTTGGGTGGAGAATTTGAAGGAGGAGGAACGGTTGAAGATGCGGGAAAAGTGGGCTGAGAAGAAATAACTTCGTCTTCCTCTGGCTCGTCCATTGAACCAAGAGGAGGTCGACGGCTGCGGAGGGGAACGTTATCCATAGTGTCGCCGGAGTTGGAAGAGGCAACACGAGCTGTGAAGACACGAGTAGGAAAAGTATCACCAGGGCGAAGAATCGAGAGAGGAACGGCTTCAAGGGCAGAAGGCAAGATCTCAACCGAACTAGAGGAGGTGGTCGAGGTAGCAGGATCTGAAAACAAAAGAAGAGAGAAACAATATCAAAAAAGAGAAGAAGGGTAGGAGGAGAAGGTTTTGGAAATTAGGGTTCCACGAAAAGGGGCTATTTTGAAGAAAGGGAACAAAGATGCCGAAAGGATTTCAAAGGCGAAGAGTTAAATCTACAGCAATCAACAGACAAACACCAAAATTCAATGCACAAATTCAAAACACCCAATCAGAAAACTTCAGATGCCCAATTCAACAACGAGAAGAGAGAAAAAAAATTCCGCAAAACACAAAGCCCAGATACAAGAAATACAAAATTAGGAGAAAAACAACTTACTCATAATCACGGAGGAGAGAATCGGGAAAAACTTGAAGATGGCAGGGAAATTGCTGGTGGAAGTTAGGATTTTTGCAGAA